CTTGTTGAACTTCATCCCATTGGAGTCAGCCCAACTCTCCAGTCTATCCAGATCCCTCTGCAGAGCCCTCCTGCCTTCCGGCAGGTCGACACTCCCTCCCAACTTGGTGTCATCTGCAAATTTGCTGATGATGGACTCAATCCCCTCATCTAAATCATCGATAAAGATGTTAAACAGGACTGGTCCCAGGCACCTGGTTACAGGCACCTCCGGCTTCATTTATTAAGAAGGCAAAACAAAGGTCTAACAGCTCCCGCAGTTTAAGGCTCTCTAGATAATAAATGTGTAACTGAGGGATGGAGAAACGCTCCCTCCTGGAGCAGCCCCCCCCCTCCCGGCGGGGCCCGCGGAAGGGCACAGCGGAGTGTGGCCACTGTCAGCAGGCACCGCGCGGCCGGACGGTGCCGGAGGCGGCTCAGCGCTGCCCGCCAGGCCCTGCTGCCGCTTTTCCCCCGCTGTCGCGACTTCCCCCCGCGGTCACGACTCCCCCCACGCTGTCGCGGCCGCGCGGGACAAACGATCTGCAAACTGCCGGCGGTTGCGTCACTTCTGGGAACGGCCACATCACCGCCGCGCGCCCCGGATCCCTCCGCGGCCGTCATCGCACGCGCGCTGACCGGGAACTCCCGCCCCCCGCGGGCAGTGCCGGGCCCTGATTGGCTGGCGGGGTTTGAGTGGCAGGGCCGCCCCACCGCCCGGCCCGCCATGTTGTGTGGGGAGCGGCGGCACCGCCCGTGTGTCCCGGCCCTGTCACCGGAACAGAGTGCGTTGGGGTGGAAAAGAGCTCTGAGGCCTTGCAGAACACCCTGTGCCCCATCCCCACCTTGTCACTCAGCCCAGAGCACCGAGTTCCACGTCCAGGCCCCGTTCCCACCACTGAACACACACCCGAGGTTCCCTCACAGTCCCCACGCAGGGACAGCCCCTCTCCAGCGATGGCCAAACTGCTCTCTCAGTCCATTGTCCCAGAGAGGGAGTCCCGCAGGACCTGCCGGAGGGGACACCTGGCTGTGACAATTCACTGTGTGTGCAGGGATTGTCACTCAGATGGGCTCTGACCGTGCGGACACCCCGAGAGCTCCGCAGCTCCAAGTGCTGCACAGGACACAGGAAAGATTGGTTATTGTATTCCAGGTTGTCCAGGATGAACAAACCTGCTGGGAACAGAGGTGTGAGGCTGCCAAACCCCCAGGGACCCCGGCCAGACTGTGGGATCATCGTTGATGGAGCAGAGGAGCAGAGTGGTTCACTGCTGCCACGTGGTTGTGCCAAGCAAGACGAAGATAAAAGCACCTGTAGAGATACAAATCCAAGATTTTTAGCCTTTGTCTCCAGGCTTCCACAGGAACAGCCCTGGTGGAGGAGGCTGAGGTGCTTCTGGGCTGTTTCTTCCTCCTCATGGAGTGTGGCCCCTTGTTTTCTGTCAGGGTTACAATTGATAATAAACTTCTCTAGTTTTATAAACAACTCTTTCGGAAATATCACCAATTCCGACAGCGTGTTTGTTTTATAGACTTCCTTTCCATTTATAGTTTGGGGCTTGAGAGTCTGTAACTATCACCAAAAGAGTGTTTTTAATGGAAATAGAGCATTTAATTGGGAGCTGCTGTATGTGTGGAGGTTCATGGATCAGCAGGGATTCCAGGTATTTGGAAGGGAATCCAGTTATCTGGAAGAGCTCACCCTCTTTTCCTCGTCCTCTGCCAAACTCTCCCCTTTAGCCACGTACTTGTACAATCCCTGAGATTTTAAAAATTATTTCCAACCAGGAACACCACTGGCCTTTTAGAAACCTGACCAGTCTTTGGTGTTGAGTTAACACAGCCAAGAAAAATCCAGTGAGCCCACAAGGCTGGTGCCAAACATCTCCGCAATGGCAAAAGCCATTTACAGCCCAGGGAAGGGACAGAAGGTTAAAGAAGTAATAGTGAAAAGGAGAGCTGGGGAAAGCTGACTCAGTTCTCCAACCCTCAGATTACCCTGAGGTGAAAATCCCGGCTTACGTGGTATTTGCAGAAAGCAAACAGCTCTTTCCATGTTCCAGCCGGGCTGGAAAGGAGGACAAACGAGTCATGGAAGCAGCAGCAGGTGACACTCAGTGTGCTGGAATTTGCCCACTTTTTTATTTCCATGCACACACCCATCGTCTGTTGGGTTTGCTCTGCTCCAGTTTTCCAGGTTACGCTCTGATATTTTGAGAAGTGTGTTTGCTCAGCCTGCCCGATCATTCTTCCCACTTCTGGGTGGTTTCATGGATCTATTTTTGAGATTGGTGGAGTCCAGCAATGCCTTCTCCTCTCGCAGCAGGATCAGACACTGCTGGAAAACACCAATCAATAATTGCTGCTGATGAGGCACTAATGAGCCTGATTCTCTTGGAGCCCTTTGGCCTGGAATTGTACAATCCATCGAAGCTCCTTCCTTGAACCAGGTGTAAACTGAGTTTGTTCTTCCAGGTGTCTCACTGCAGGCAGAGACTCCAAAGCTGAGTGATAAAACATGGAAAAAAAGGAAACACCTCAGAGTTATCCCAGCTGGACAAACAGTGCTTTCCTCTGCCAGACTGTGACTCAGGAGCAATTCCTGAGGCACTTCTGTGAAAGATTTATGAGACTCCAATCCTGGGGTCTAAACCAGCTCAGAGGAACAAGGAGGATCATTTGAAATTGTCCCCAGAGGGCGGGTTCTTCAGACTTTTCCTGCTGGTTTTGAAAGAGAAAAGAGGAACTGGGCAGCGAGTTCCACCCTGCAGTTTGCCCCCTGAGTACCGGGGTGTGAAACCGCAGTGGGTGGGGGTGCTTGGGGCTGCCAGGGCTTCTCTGTTTCGGCTCAACTGATCTGCGCCTTCCACTCCCCAATCCCCCCTCCCTCCTTTCAGCAGCGTTTCTCTGGCCACACTCATTCCTTATTTACTCCAGCCAAGGTACAGCAGGTGTTTGGCTTGAAGTGCTTATCAAGAGAAGATTAAAACATTCTTCCTGTAGGAAAGC